CTTGCAGGATCTAGTATCCATTATGAGTCCCACAACTTGTATATCTCGGATTTTTCCTAAAGGTCATATGAGGTCAGGTCATTTTCGTGACCTCACCATTATAAGTCAATGGGGAAAAATGAAAACTGCTATTCTGGCGCCGGGAATGATCTCCAACTATCTCAAGCACACAGAATCGTGATTTGATGCACTCCTTGCAAGGTTAGATGCGTCACTTTTGCAATGTTGACCTTGCGTGACGTCATTTATGACGTCATCAAGGTCATATTAGTTTTTCGTCGATAACTCTTGATCAAATTGAGCTAGCGAGTCGGGAAAGCCACCAATGGACTCAGGAAGACCTGCCGAATCGAATGATATGCGACATGACCTCTTTCGACCAACTTCGTGACCTGGGGGTGCTGACCTGACCTTGACCTGAGGTCAACACCCCAAGTTGACCTGACCCGGACAAAAAGTATATCATTCGACGCGCCTGAGCGAGACGAACACGATGCTGCCAAAATCGGCGCTCTGCGGCCGTTTTTTGCGAAGTTATTCACCAAAAACTGAACCGTACCTTGGGGCACTTGACCTGACCTCAGAGGTCACCGGTTGACCTAGGACCTTAAAATCGGGTACCAATCTCTGCGTCTCGTAACGGCGCACACGCTCGTTTTTTCCGCGACGCGCTAGCTCCACCAGGGGCGAAACGGCGAGGGGGGGTCGTACCCGCCCCCCCTCGGCCGGCGCGTATGTAGAAAACCAATAGGTCCGGCGAGGGTTAACCCGCGCCCTGAGGGGGCTGCCGAGCAACGCGGTCTGATGGGGGCATTTTGCCCCCCCCCCTAAGGTCTCGAGAACCACGCAACATAGCGACAAGCGGCAAACGGCGTTGGATAGCCCCAAAGGGGTACTACCTTGTGACCCAATTTCATTGACCTCGGTCAAACCGATGACGTCACAGGTCAGGTCAAAGGTCGAATTTTCACCGTTTACAGGCATTTCAAAAAATGCGTTGTAAAATCGAGTAAAATGCATTTAATTGAAAATCATCGATGGGGAAATGTGCGTCAAACACATATTTTGCTATTTGAGGTCATTGATGCCAGGTCAGGTCACAGAGGTCAGGTCACCGAGGGTCGCAAATTAAAAATATCATGTGATGCATGTTTTATGGTCCATTTTATATGCCAAATGCGATTATGTAGGACAGGCAGCCCTTGGGGTCAGTTGAGATTATGTTTTGGTGAAGGTCAGGTCAAGGTCAGGTCAAGGTCAGGTCAAGGTCAGGTCAAGGTCAGGTCAAGGTCAGGTCAAGGTCAGGTCAAGGTCAGGTCAAATTAGGTCAAATTTCAAAGTTGATATTTTTGCATAAAATGGGTATCGATTTGATGCAGATCGTCATGGGGAGTTCAATGGTGGTCTCCGTTTTGCGCTACGTGGTCTAGAATTGCTAAAAATTGATTTAACCCTCGCCGGACCTATTGGTTTTCTACATACGCGCCGGCCGAGGGGGGGGGGGGGCGGGTACGACCCCCCCCTCGCCGTTTCGCCTCTGGTGGAGCTAGCGCGTCGCGGAAAAAACGAGCGTGTGCGCCGTTACGAGACGCAGAGATTGGTACCCGATTTTAAGGTCCTAGGTCAACCGGTGACCTCTGAGGTCAGGTCAAGTGCCCCAGGGTAGGGGAAGTTGGGGCAATGCCGGAGTTGGGGCAAAGCCGAAATTCGAGATATTTCTAAAACCGTACGACATGGATGCCACGTCTCAGTGATGCTCTGAAGCTTAAGTGACTTCAATTATCGCATGTTTGTTACGAGTCGTCATTTGGAATACTTCGGCTGTGAGGGCGCCAAAAGCGTTTTCAAGGTACGTTTCCCTTGTACTACATGCGCCCTTGAAGCTGCATTTCTTACTCATTATGCTACCGTTTGTCTGGCCAATTCGGTCAAGTAATCTTCAGCATGTCTTTGCATAAGTGTGCTGCCTATTTGAAATTTATACAGCACGTTTAAAAGTTATGGATCTGCAAATGAAAGTATGGCTGGCTGGGGTAATGCCGAAAACGTGCAATTACGCACGTTAAAGCACGCTACGTGGACTTTACTGAGCTAGAATAGCAACGCGTATTTTTAGTCAAACAAATTACACTTTCAGCCGGCACAACGGCCTGTTACCTATAAGGAATGATTTACCTGGTATTTTCTTATTATATCACACAATTTTAACTTCCAGTGTGCACCAAGCGTCCTCAAGCTCTTAAAACGCGTGTCAGCTTTGATGAATTTTGGATAAAGTTTGAGATAAATTGGCAAAACATCAATGTCGGCATTCCTCGTAGATCATTTATCCCATTTTCGGCTTTCCCCGCAGTCCGGGGCAACGACGAAAAAGTCAGTTCTTTGATATTTTTAGTTTTTGCGCTTAACGGTATGCGAATTCATCAAATGCGCCTGGTATGTTTGAAAGACAAAAGACTGGCCTCTCGAATGACGCCAACAAGAATAGCTTATGTTGTCTACCTTGCGTGCTACGGGCGTCAGAAAAAAAGTATTCGGCGTTCCCCCAACTTCCCCTACGGTTCAGTTTTTGGTGAATAACTTCGCAAAAAACGGCCGCAGAGCCGCGATTTTGGCAGCATCGTGTTCGCCTCGCTCAGGCGCGTCGAATGATATACTTTTTGTTCGGGTCAGGTCAACTTAGGGTGTTGACCTCAGGTCAAGGTCAGGTCAGCACCCCCAGGTCACGACGTTTGTCGAAAGAGGTCATGTCGCATATCATTCGATTCGGCAGGTCTTCCTGAGTCCATTGGTGGCTTTCTCGACTCGCTAGCTCAATTTGATCGGGAGTTATTGACGAAAAACTAATATGACCTTGATGACGTCATAAATGACGTCACGGAAGGTCAACATTGCAAAAGTGACGCATCTAACCTTGCAAGGAGTGCATCAAATCACGATTTTGTGTGCTTGAGATAGTTGGAGATCGTTCCCGGCGCCAGAACAGCAGTTTTCATTATTCCCCATTGACTTATAATGGTGAGGTCACGAAAATGACCTGACCTCATATGACCTTAAGGAAAAATCCGAGATATACAAGTTGTGAGACTCATAATGGATACTAGATCCTGCAAGTTTCATTTCCCTGTGACATCTCCTCTGGCAGTGAGGGCGTTGCGAAGTTGCGACATCTGAAGACCGTGCAGAGGTTCACTTATGACGTCATAGGTCAGTGACCTGACCTGACCCAAAAATGCGGTTGGTGTCAAAAGATGCGGCTTGGATCAAAGGTCAGGTATGCCAAGTTTCAGCTCTCTATCGCCAGCGTGTTCGGAGCTATCGCGAAAAAAACCCTATGGGGGGGGCGGCACCCGCCCCCCCTCGGCCGGCGAGGGTTAAAGGTAGTGTGCCAGCTTTCCTGGACCGTATGGAGTTAATGGCCCAGATAAGGAGAACCGGATTTTTAGATCTTATCCATACCTTCAAAACTCATGGAAACGTCTTAAATTCTTCAAATTTTGAGTACCCCAGTGCGAAATTCGCCCCGACGGGTTGTCGGTCGTACCCCAACCACATTTCGCACCACTATGAACAACAAATGCACACACTGAAATCGCTATTACCGATATGCTCATCCAATCAAGTTTCGATAAACCCGTTCATCATCATCTCCTGCGGTTTCGAACACGCCTGTTTGGTGGTGCGGTAGACCGCGCCCAAAGCCAGGGCCCCGGTAACGTGAGGTAGCCGAGTCGGGGCAGCGTGCGCTGACCCAAGCCGGGGCCGCGCGTCCTCCCGGTGTCATGTGATAGCCCGCGGCTGCCCGCGGGGATGCGGTAGACCGCGCCCAAAGCTGCGGCCCCGGCTTGGGTCAGCGCACGCTGCCCCGACTCGGCTACCTCACGTTACCGGGGCCCTGGCTTTGGGCGCGGCTCCTGCTCATACTTTGTGGTGCGGTGGTGGTGCGTCGGGCCGCGCGCTCTGACTTCGGCCAAGAAATATGCGTCAGCTGATCATTGTCATTTCTGCCACTTGCGTGTGGTGAAATGGGGTCATAACTTAAGAGACGGCTTTTTCATATCAATTATTTTACATAAAATCATATTTCAAACCATAAATAATGTTCGACAGCCAAATAAAAGAAACAATACCAATACAGGCTTACAGTTTAAGGCTCGACATTGTGTTGTCTACGATTAGACAGCTGATAACTCATGCCCGTACGTCGTAACTCTATAATGACCTTTGCTTATTGTCACATGTGCGCCGCATTCGCGATTGTTGCCGACGCCTGTTTGCAGGTGAGCCCACTACAGTTGTTATACATATCGAAAAACCGATAAACTTTTAGGCGAAAAAGGCACTATTCCAGGCCCATTTTTGATTTTTTTTTTGCGATATTAGGTAAAAACAGAAGCTTCTTATCATAGGAAAAATAAAATGGGAAATCTTTCAAAGGTGGCACACTACCTTTAACCCTATTAGTGGCAGGGGGGGGGGGGTTGTTTTTATCCACCCCTCAGGTTTTTCGGGAATATCTCCGAAACCGCTGAAGCTACGATGCTGAAATTTTCTGACTTTTCCTAAAACTAAATTGGGCACATTCCCTGAAAATTTCAAGTTCATAACTTTACCAGGGGCGGCTCCAGAGCACTGGGAATTGGGGGTCCTATTCGTGAAGCGAGTCATTTGGGCGAATATCACGATGCTGCACCAGTTTTACGAACAGTGAATGAAAGGTATCATGTGATAACATATAGGGGAGACCCGTGCAAGACGCCTCCCTTAAGCGAATTCTCTTCCCATTCCTTATTCGTTGGACATATCAGCCTAATTTCTTCACGGACGTCTAGATACAACATTTTCCTGTCAGAAAATCAGTATAAAAACTATTATACGGCTCAGCGATGAGATATCTAATTGATTTTCTGAAGGCTTGCAAAGGGGCGTCTTACAATTAGGGGGAGATAAGTCGCCCACCCCCTGGGCATCTTATCATATTGCTGACTGAAGGCCTGAGATCTAGGAAGTTGGCTGTATTAGCGGAAATTGAACAGCCAATTCACATTAATTCGAACAATGACAATACAAACTGTTTCATAGCAAAACAGGACAACACCTGAAAGACAGCACAGCTTGTGCACATCGGTCTGCGTCAGTTCAACGTTCTTAAGCTCGGTAAGAAAAAAAAAACATTTCAAACAATGCTAAACGTGATATGACGAACGTTCGTGCTTGTAACGTTACCAGTACATATCACCAGACTCAATGACAAACGAAAATGGCAGGTGAGCCCACTCTAAAAGCAAGAACAGGAACCTGAACGGGCATGCCGTTCAAAACGACGCCGGGCGACAGAAGTCACATGTGTAACCCAGCTGGCCCTTTTCTAGGTCCGTACAGGGCACACAAGCCCACTGAGAACACGCGGCGCACTGGACCCACTCTTCGCATGACAAACGGAATTGCATGCCACACACAAGACACGAAGTTTTGTCATCAGTATTCTGGGGGGTCTCTGAGGCTGACTTCTTCATTTTCTTAGACTTCTTGGGGAGAGAACCATTTGATGTGTCTTTCTTGGCTCGTTTTTTTGCAGCTTTCTCTTCAAGCTGCGACTTCATCGGTGACGACGTCAAAATCTCTGACTTTTGAGCCCGGCGGATTCTCTTTCTAACGTGCGCCTTAGGCGAGGCGCACAGGTCTGCTAGGAGTTGGCTGTCGCGATTACGTGAGCTGGGACTCTGTTGTGTGGAGCTGCTTGCCACAGAATTGGTCGGCTCGGCGTCCCGGAGCACGGATCCCTGCGCGCGTCCGGAGGAACCGGAGCTGCTGGCCACAGGATTGGTCGGCTCGGCGTCCCGGAGCACGGATCCCTGCGCGCGTCCAGAGTAGCAGGAGCTGCTGGCCACAGGATTGGTCGGCTCGGCGTCCCGGAGCACGGATCCCTGCGCGCGTCCAGAGTAGCAGGAGCTGCTGGCCACAGGATCGGTCGGCTCGGCGTCCCGGAGCACGGATTCCTGCGCGCGTCCAGAGTAGCCGGAGCTGCTGGCCACAGGATCGGTAGGCTCGGCGTCCCGGAGCACGGATCCCTGCGCGCGTCCAGAGGAGCCGGAGCTGCTGGCCACAGAATCGGTCGGCTCGGCGTCCCGGAGCACGGATCCCTGCGCGCGTCCAGAGGAGCCGGAGCTGCTGGCCACAGGATTGGTCGGCTCGGCGTCCCGGAGCACGGATCCCTGCGCGCGTCCAGAGGAGCCGGAGCTGCTGGCCACGGGATCGGTCGGCTCGGCTTCCTGGAGAGGCTGGGGTTCGGGTTCTTCAGTGAGAAGAGCTGCCACGAAATCATTATCGGTGAACAGGCTGTCATCGAATGGCCAGATTCCGCTCACACGAAATCCACTCACAATCTTCTCCGCCGAAGCACACCTCAGGTAGGCAGTCGAAAAGATCGCACTGATTTCGAACTCGGAGATCCTCCTTCCCGGGTTTGCCCGCATCCAGCTGTCAGCCGCTGCGCTGTAAGCTGCCTTGAGCGGCTTAAACCAAGAAACATCCAAGGGCTGGAGCCTGTGCGTGCAGTGGGGAGGTAGAGTGATGAGATCCACTCCACTCTCTCGGGCCAGCTCCACAGCGTGAAGACTCTTGTGACTCGCATGACCATCTAAGATGAGCAGATGCCGGTTATCTGTTGATGGCCTGACCGTTGAGATGAAGTGTTGGAGCCACTTCACGAAGCAGTCTTCGTCAGTCCACCCTGACTTCGTGCACATGCCGATGGCTCCCGGTGGAGCACCATTCATGAGGGAAGCGTTCATGCGGGCTCGCGGGAATATCATGGCCGGAGGTACGAACTGTCCACCTGCGTTTGCTGCACAGATGACTGTTACAGTTTTTCCCCTTTCAGCGCTGGTGATCTTGCCGACCTGCTTTTTGCCCCTTGGCGCCACTATGTTGGCCGGCTTCTGGACAACTGACACTCCTGTCTCATCCGCATTCCACACCTGGAGCGGGCCGTAGCTGTTCTTATCCAGCAACTCTCGGTAAAGGGCGTAAAAACGGTCTACCTGTGGCCGATTGAACCCCACCGCACGCGCTAGGCTGGTTGGCTCCGGCTTTCTGATGGCTAAGCCAGGATGCCGTTTCAGGAACGCATTTAACCATTCCTTTCCAGCCATCTTCGAATCTCGGGAAAACCGGTGCTTAATGCCCAGCCTCTCAGCGAACTGGAACGCGATGCGGCGTAGATCAAATGTCGTCAAGCCGTAGAGGACTTTCTCCATGAATTGGATCTTCTCAACAAGCAACTCCTCCTGCTCTGGGCTGAATTCGCAGCTGAATCTCCCCAGATGGATTTGTCCAGGTGACCGGACCTTTCCATCTCTGTGCCTTCTCAGAGTCTTCGCAGGTATGCCCCAGCGATTCGCCGTGCTCCGTACTGACACACCATCGCGAAGATCCTGCAGGGCGTTCTGAAGCCGTTCCTGGCCATATGCACCTCTCGAAGATCTCCGTACTCTTGGCATGCTGTGAAAGAGGACAAAGGATTGGCCTCACGTAAGTGGTAGGTATACCTACAATATATATTCAGTGTAACGGATGTCGGATGACTTAAAATAAAGTAGGTGCGGAATAAAATGATAATTAGAAGACGAATATAACATGTCATGGACACAGGTTCCTACACACAGCTGAAGGACTCTTAGAAATAACTTTCAAGGACACTGGAACCGGGGGGCGGGATGAGGACGGGCAATGGTGGCAAAATCCCTCCCATTTTGGCGGCTGGGTGGGGGGGGGGGGCACCACCTCCAACTTTAAGATGCTCATCGCTAAGCTTTTTTATTGATTAATTGAAAATGTAATTTTGTCATTTCTGCAAAATGAAGAGGCCAAAATCCGCGAGACGAGGAAGTGAAATTTTGGTTGGTAGGTTGGTCTCGTGGACCTAATTCCCTTCCACCCAAACTTCAAACTACTTCCCGTGTCCCTGATAGCCTTTTATTTGGAAGAATACATTCACTAAACGGATAATTTCGGATGTTTAGAAGTAACGTGTAAGACGCCCCTCGTTGTGTTTAAGACGCCCCGGGTAGGCGTCTTACAGGGCCAGGGGGCGGGGCTTCTTGAACTTTTTGCAATGTTTTAGTGCGATCGTATGCCATAAACTTCGGCAAACGCGACGCATTCAGCAAATACATTTCCGACAGAATAAATGACGGATTTTGATGAAAATACCATCAAAATTGTTGTGAATACATTGAATGAAGTTATATGACGGATTGAATTGACAGTTGCACGCTAAGAAAACAGATAAAATTACGAAAACCCACCTTATCCTCGCATAAACCACAGCAGGGCCGCCAAATCTCGCCTGTCATCACACGAAAGGATCTTCTGCTTCATTAAAAACAAAAACAAGCGATAGCTCAAGAACTTTTTTAATTATGGGGGGGTGGGCGTCTTATCTACCCTGGGCGTCTTACACGGGTCTCCCCTACAAAGTTATTGTGCATCCTTTTTTGACACGTTTTTGCTATAATAGGCGGATCCAGGCGTCCAAAAATGGGGGTTATTTTTTACCTCCCAACATAGGTTCCCTGACACCGCCTATGCATGACCAATACAATTTTAGTCGTTCTCTCATAAGAAAATTGTAACATAACAAGACCATTGCCACCCTTTTTAGAAACATTACCAACAAAAACCTTATTTACTATACTTTTTGTGTACCCCCAATCTCAATGATCTGTATCCGCCTATGATTTTTGAAAATGCATATTTTTAGGATCCATGTGAATTCCTGGTTCATTCTCTATCGATCGGCAAAAGTTGCGTTAAGATTGGTTCAGAAACCTGGCCGTGATAAACAGTATAAAATGTATCTGCAATTTGCCCGTTTTTACCCCCCTCTACCCCCCCCCCCTATTGACATTTTTTAATTTTTTTTTTTTAAATGTAGATCTCGTTGAGCCAAATCGAATGCCGTTTGAATTTTGAAAATGGGCCGGTTGGATCTCGAGATATCAAGGGGGGGTCGTAAACAGCCCCCCCTGCCACTAATATGGGGTAGCCAGGAGCCTGCCACTAATAGGGTTAAAAAATTTGACGTCATCAATTTTTAAGTTTTTTCGCTATACCGTGGCCAAAAAAAAGAGGTATCGATCTAAAATTGGGTATGTATATCGAAAAGCGCAGAGACTATCACATATATTCCAGTTTTTCGAAAATCGAATTTTTTTGGAATTTTTTAAAGTTTTTCCAAAAAAATAGATTTTTTGATTTTTTTGGGAGGAAAGTCCCAAAATTTCGAAAATCCGAGATAGCAGTTTTTTAGCGCCGTCTTTTCTCTACACAACCACATAAAAAACTTTAAAATTGCTTGTCAACTGTAGATTTGGTGAGCGTTTCAAGATGTCATGTTTTTTGCTCATTTTATCTCGAACATGACCTCAGTTTGACCTCAATAACTCCTGACCCGAGATGACCTGTGACTTGAACTTTTGTGTGAAGGTGTCAAATTGATGACCGGTAGGGTACCCAAAATTTGGCGGCGCTGCGCGCCGCCGTTTTCTCGCTATTTAAGAAAAACCACAGGGGGGGGGGCAAAATGGCCCCCTCATCAGGGCGCGGGTTAAATTTTGACGAACGTTCCAGTAGTTTCGGAGGTAGGAGAGGGGGGGGGGGGGGGGCGTCACTCGCGTTATGGAATATACCCCAGTCATGCTCGGGTTAAAAGTGATAGGTATATTTCCTTTAGCTTAACACTCGTCATTTGGTCTTGTTGCTCAGTGATCTATGACGATTAACACACTAAAACTGATTAGGCCAATGATAATGCAGTTAAATTAGATGAACTGCTATCATGCTAAGCGTTTCGGAAGTACAGCACGACGCCCACGCTTCGCACGCTGGAGAGAGCCTCCGGCTGTGGCCTGTCACATCACAACTCGCGGGGTCTTTCGCCACGCTGGTCGTCACCGTCACGGAACGGTGACCATTGCGGACAGGTCGGGAATGCGGGAGGATCCAGCATTGAGACTAATGCGTGCACGAGCCATGCTCTGCAACTGCCCCGGCCCCCGTTCGCGGGGTCGGCCTGCACTCCTGCTCGACGAGACGTTTTACGAGCTAACGGCACTCTTTGGCTGAGTTTGACAGGAAACGAAGTAGGTAGGTACCCCGAACCCAGCCAGCGTCACGCAAGACATGGCTTGTGTCGTTTTTGAAGGATGAGGCCTGAAAACTTCTCTGCCAAGAGATGGACCACACTGATTAGGTCAGTTCTGTCAAAGGCTTCTTAACCCTATTCCTGGCGGGGGGGGGGGGGGGCCTCAGGAGCCCCCCTGAGGTTTTTTGGTTATTTCTCCCAAACGCGTTGAGCTAGGAAGCTCAAATTTTCTTACTTTTCCTAAAAGGCTTCTACGCAACATGTCTGAAAATTTTGAGTTGATCTGACCTCAGGTCAGGTCACCAGAGGCGGTTTGGTGACCCTACCTCAGAAAAATTTGCAATCACGCCAGAGCTAGAGTTTTTGACCGATCAATTTCTTCTCTTCAGGCTTTAGTTAGGGTACCAGTATGTGCAATTTGTATATCTCGGAATTTTGATATCGGTGACCTAAGGTCAGGTCAGTTTCGCGACCTCCCCATTATAAGTCAATGGGGGAAAAATCAACTCCCTGTTTTTACCACTAAAACGGGTCGGAATGGCCCCATATACCATACATGACTTCATATACGATCAACCTTTACTACCTTGAGGTCTGTTTTGCTGTTGGGCAGCTGTGAGGTCATGTGACGTCATCAAAGGTCACCAAAGGTTTTTGGCCAATAACTCCGTACAGGAACAAGATACAGACGCGTGGATGGTCTCATTGTGTTCAGCTCGTCAAGACGCATCGAATGACATACATGATGACCTCGAGGTCACGTGACCTGAGGTCAACCTTTGACCTTGACCTTTCGAGGTCAACATATATATCATTCGATGCGGATTGACGAGAGGATCACGATGATGCCCTTAGTTTGTTCCTATCTTGACTAATTCGAAAGTTATTCGAGAAAAACTCTCTCCATATCTAGCGCCGCCATTTTGACTTTTTCGACCCCTGTGACGTCATCTTTGACCTGACCTGAAAATGACCTGTGTAAAAATTGTAGATCTTGACCGTGCGTATCCGATGCCGTTTACCGTTTGTCGCTGCGATGTGTTGTTTTTGAGATCTGAAGGGGGGGCCGAATCGGCCCCCCGCCAGTTTCTTGTCCCGGCGGAGCCCGCCAGGAATAGGGTTAAACCCACGCCGTGCTGGGGGCGGGGGGGCGTTTTTAAAATATCTAAAAAACCGCAGCGCGCAGTGCCGCTGTTTTTGGTACATATGCTCATACATCATTTCCGCACATGTCAAAATTTCAGACCCGGGTCGTTCAAGTTCAGGTCACCAGGTCACGTCAAGTGACCTTACCTGAGAAAAAGTTCAAAGGCTCGCTATACATAGCTACACCGACTGAACGATTACTTAAGAAGCTTTCAGCGATTGATATGAGTAACAGTATGTATAAAATGTATGTCTCGGAGTTTTCAGATATGTGACCTAAGGTCAGGTCAATTTTGCGACCTCTCCATTATAAGTCAATGGGTGATAATTGAAATGCGCCTCTTTTGGACAAATGCCGTTCAAAACGCTCTCAAATACCTATCAGTTCATCGGTAAACATAACACACTGAATCAGAAAAAAAACGCACCTGTGACCCCTCTGTATGCCCTGAGGTCATCTCAGGTCACAAGCGGTCACCAGCAGTTTTTTGGCTATAGCTTTTGATAGAGACGCGCTAGAGCGATGAAAACACGTCAGATGTGCTCAGATCGACGATACGGATCGACTGATATGCAACATGACCCTTTCCGGTCAGGTCATGACCTTGACCAAAGGCCAAATTTTCAAAATGACCTTTCAAGGTCAACAATTGGTTCATTCGACGCGTCTCGACGAGAGAAACACGATGCTGCCAAAATTAATGTCGTGGCTCTCTTGAGTCAAAAGTTATTGCCGAAAAACATTTTTCGTAAAAACGGTTATTTTTCCAGTTTTTGCCCTCTTGAGGCTAAACCGTTGACTTGAGGTTTAAATCTGAGAACATTAGTCAGAAAGGTCTGTAAAAGGGGCTATCGAATGCGCTTTTCCGCGGCGCTGTAGCTCTATTGGTTCCCGAGTTAGCCGTTGGCATTTTCCAAAATTATTGAAATGGACTAAATTTGACCTTTGATGACCTCTGGTGACCTGACCTTTGACCTGACCTTAAAAATGACCTGAGTGTTTTTTTCCATATTTTTGACGCTCTTTCGATTGCCGAGTGCTGCTACGTGGCCCAGGAGCCGAGACCGCACTCCGACTCGGCCAGAGTAAAATCACTGGACTATGCGTTGCAAAAATAATTCACACAAGGAAATTGTTTTTTAAAGTGATTCTGTGTATGCTGTGTTTGGTGACACAAAGCATAAAAAACATAACCGGACTCAGGGGCGGAGCTTCCTATACAGTTGGTGGGGCGGCTGCCCCACCAACTTGCCAATTTGCCCCACCAATAAGCGTTTTGCCCCACCAACTTTAGCTGATTTCTAAAGCTTTGTTGCTTTGCAAAATAATCTTTTTCGCATTAATGAGCTTTGGAATGTCTGTTTAATGCACAATATTATATCTGTAATGATGGGAATTGATTCATTGATTTATTTTATTCAACTTCATAATCGGACATTGTGGGTTTGACGACTTTTTGCCCCACCAACTTCCCTGGGAAAGCTCCACCCATGACCGGACTGCGAGCGGACCAAAAGTTCTCGTGCTAGCTCTGTCCGCTCTGTCTGCTAATAGTGCACTGCAGTCATTGCAGTCTGCAAACAGTGAATTTTATAGTCATTTTATAGTCATTTTATATTTAAAGTCACCGTGAGAAAACCCTTTATGGTGTTTTCTGCTTGGTTTCTACACAAGCTGAATACCGATCATTAAACGCTTAATTTTTAGTTAGCTTTGTTTGAAGTTATTTTTTTAGCAATCTCCACTATCTTCATAAAGAATAGACAAGATATGGCCCCTTGTTTTTGATATTTAATAAATTGGCTGCTGCATGCTTTAAGGGTTCGTAGCAGCTGCGCCATTAATGGCTTTCATTTCTGTTCGTGCCTTATGCTGAGCTCAATGCTGTGTGTTTTGTGTGTGTTGTGTTGGTAACTGGTGTTATTATTTTCGTTTTCCCACTTGTTTCAGTTTGTATCTGCTCACCCAGTGAGAGAAGAAAGAAGATGGACGCTTGATCCCTGACTGCTACGCGCCCTTATCCAACAAGAACAAGAACAAGAATTTGTAATTTGTATCTGTTGGGGATTGAATATCTGCAGGGCCCTTGGAGTCGGTGTTAATCTAAAAATAGGCATTCTTGTCACATAATTATCACATAAAATGTACATACCGTTCGATGAGGTAGCCATGCACTTCACTTTCATCACAATTATTTGTATGTTGATGTCATTGTATCAAAGTGTTACCACCATTGGTTTGAATAAATTTTTGGTTAAAGTGTGAGTGATTCTGGTATTGGTGTCAAGATTTCATGGCGACACCTATGATATGGACCGAATGCGAATGGCTCTTTGATGCCTGGATCCCACGCATGTTGTCGTATTTGTTAATTGCAGAGAAGAGATTTTAAATGGCGAATTCAAATTGGGAGGGGGGCAAATCATGTTCTGGCCGCCCTTAGTCCTGACATTGGCTCGGTTGGACCCTCTTGGATCCACCAGTGTTATTAACATTTTTGGCCCAGCACCTACCTACATTATGAATGTTGCATCACTTAAAGGGACCCTCCCACCTTAACATTAGATTTGAGTTGAGATAGCCAAAATGGGGTCCCTGGCTCACAATTACCGGTTTTGGCACTCACAACATCGAGAAATGCCTTAAATCGGAAATATTGAATTTCAAAATTGCAGCATTTTGATTCAGAGGGGCTAATGCTTAGGAATACCCCTCTGAATGTGTGACGTCAGCGCAGATATCTAACGATTTTTAAATGTTTGACTAAAACGTTTTGTAGCACGCGGTGGTATATGCTATTTGCGCGCAACATCTGCCGCAAACGCCGCACTTCTAAAATAAAGTCGCTAGAAACAGCGGAGATCCCAAAAAAGTAAACAAAAGTAAAAGTCTAATATCTTGAAAACCGGTGAATATTTTTCGGTGAAATTTGGTAGATATTCGTTTTCGCTCTTTCCGAACCAAGCGACATCACTTTCATGCCAATTCATAAACTTTTTTGAAGGTGGGAGGGTCCCTTTAATACCATCTTACATCTTTGTTACCTATTGAATATGTTTCATTCTATCAAAGTGATCAAAAGCTTTTGACCAAAATGAAAAGCAGATGGTGGCCCTTCACCTTGATCATTGATGATATATCATTTGACTTCAGCACAATGAACACCTGAACAATGAGTCATTGAAGAACTATGAAGAGCTCAAAGTATTGTATTGCCAAAAAAGCAATAAATATGAATTCTGTCATAAATAAACTTCATTTAATAATTATGTTTCTTTCTTTGATTAAAAAGTTTTCAATCTTTCTCCAGACACTGCAATATGTTTAGGCAACTGCTTAAGCTGTGTTTCCATGTGCAATTTTAGTTCACTTCAGGTGATCTGGTTTGCTTCCTGGACATTGTTTTATATGAGCTCAATATTTTTAAGAAGTGTGTGCAATACATTCAGCTCACCTGTTGCATGTTGACACACAGATCGGAAAATGACAGCACACACCAGAAAAAAAACATGCAGTAGGCAGAAGTCTACCCCTAATCTGTCCTGGGTTCATTTTGTTGTCACATTAAGAGAATCCATCAAACTAATTGACATTCTTTCGTTTTCATAGGACTTCAAGAGTTACACAACTGGCTACTCACTTTGGTACACATTATAATATGGCAGTGTAAGAGCAGAGGAATTGTGTCATCTGGAAATCCTGGACTACTGCTTGAAATTGAATGGAGATCATGCATGAGGTGAGTAATGGTAGTTAATAGCTATGCTGTAGGGAAAAGCTACAGTATGTTGTAATTCTTTGACAGTTGTTATTATCATCAATGTGGTATATGATCCTTTTCTTGTTTCTCTTTTAAGGGATATCTGTAAAATATAGTATGCTAAGTTTTATGATGTTATGAATAAATAAAATGCATTTTTTGCTTGAGACTTAAAATGCCACTTCTTAGTATCCTGCTCAAGTGTTCAGTGAGACACTGTAAGTCTTTATGAACTCCATTTACAGTCCTTTGGATTAATATCAATTTGCTGTAGTCGATAGTACCCATTTAAAATGATGCTTACATATCAAGGACAAACAGAACTCAGAATGGCGTTTACTGTTCAATGACCCGCCGTTCCCTTCCCAGTTGCAGCCAGAGCGTCCCTCGGGCGCCGACGAGCCCGACCTGCTGGAGCTGACCGCGCAGATGGGCGATGTCCGGATCGGCGGCCGGCCCGTGTCGGCGCTGTTGGCCCACCAGGCGGCCCCGCCGCGGCCCGTCCCGCTCCTCTCCCAGAGCCAGTACCGGCCACCGGAGCCTGCTGTCGTGTACTCGGTGTCTGTCAGTCCGCCGCAGCCGCCGGCCGGCCTCGGGCAGCGGCCCGGCCCGCAGCTGTCCCCGAGCCACTACCAGCCCGGCTCCGGCCTGACCGCCGAGTACCTGCCGTCTTCCAGTCCGTACCAGCCATCTGTCGGTCAATATATCCCATCTACCAGTCACTACCAGCCATCTACCAGTCAGTACCAATCTTCTACTGGCCAATACCAGCTCTCTACCAGTCCATACCAGCCCTCTACCAGTCCGTACCAGCCATCTACCAGTCAGTATCAGCCGCCTGGAGGCCAGTCTTTTCCATCCACAGGCTGGCCGGCTGCCCCTGCCGTGCCGTACCAGCCGTCTGCTGCCCTGTATGAGCCGCCACATGGACCGTACCGGTCCCCAGCCAGCCAGCGGCAGCAGCCGGTAGGGGTCCGACCCGGCGTGTCGGTCCCTCGGCCGCCGTCCCCGGTCAGAGTGGTCGCCCCAGCGGCACCGGCGGCGACCTCTGTACAGGAGCCACAGAGCAGTGCAGGTACGGACCAGCCGTCCAACGACAGCCCGACACAGTCAACGGTACGGGTGCACGCTGCAAATATAAGTGTTGGGTAATATGAGTTATCATGGTTTTTGACTTTATACGAGTAGCTGATCGTTTTCATAAAAAACAAGCAATTTGCTTTATGACCCAGTACCGAAGATGCAATTACTTATTTTGTTTACCAGGCTTGGCACTATTTATATTCACATACAAGTTATACACACTTCCCTTCCCTGGTGAAACTAAAACATCCAAGTAAAACCAAGTCCAAGAAAAGTTCAAACTTTTCTCAGAGCGGCTGTTGACACGTTCAGTAGGCATTGTTCCACATCAGCTCTGTGACGGTCACGGTCACTGTCACCCCTCAGAGCGACTGCGGCTGCAGCACGAGGCGTGCGGTCGCCTGCGGCTGGAGCTGGATCGCACCCGGCGCCTCTGGGACCGTCTGAATGCGGAGACGGCCGACCTGACCCGGCGGCTGGAGAGTGTGCCAGCAGCACCCCTGGTGAGCTGTTGTGGGGAGCTCCGGTGAGCTGTGGGGAGCCGGGTGAGCTGTGGGGGGCCTGGTGGGCTGTGGGGGAGCCTGGTGGGGAGCTCTGATGAGCCAGGGGGAGCCCTGGTGAGCTGGAGAGTTTTGGTTAGCTGGGGACTGCTCTTTTGGACTGGGGAAACTCATGAGGGGGGGGGGGGGGGACAACTGTGGGGTATCTAGGAAACCGCATGAGCTCTCAGGGCTTATCGTATATATCTTAAGATGTGTATTGTGTATTGCTCAGGTGATTCCGTATTCTACATCATCTTGAGACTCTCTAGGCCAGTCTCGCACATGGTGTGTATCTGCTGTCTGTTGTGTAACAGTTGACCGCCTCTCTGTCAGGTGGATAACCGTCTCCGGTGGGCAGAGTCGAACCACCGCCTGCGCCGGGAGTGTGATCGCATGGTGACCGAGATACAGGAGCTGCGGACAGCACAGCAAGGTGGGCGGCCGGGGCCCCGGTGGAGGGATGGAGGGACAGGGGGCTGGGGCAGCCAGTGAACGAGGGGGGAGTGGGTACCAGTGATGTTAGAGTCTGAGCTGAGTGAGATAGAGAGGCTGGAAGGGTAGAAGGGAGAATAGATTGGTTGTCACCATCGGCAAAGAAAACAAGTGACGATTAGTGATCGAAACTCGAAAGAGTGGGATTTTAGAAGCGTTGTTTCTTTGAGTCCCCTTTTTTGTTTGTTCCACATTTGTGCCTATTTCAAAATGTTCTTAACGTAAAACTCAACTATGCAAAACTGGTGTTTACCTGCAATTGGTACTAATTACAAGCATCTGAGCATCATGTCAGTTTTACTTGCTGAATTTCGTAGCCTTACACTTCTCAATATTACCGGTTACCATCGACTTTTGAACTGTTTATACTTTATTCCCTGTTTGTTTTCTGCTTGTGACCTGTGTGTCGCCAGCGTGTAACCGTCCTATCGCGTTGGTCCACAGTCCGTCGGAGCTCTGCCAGTTCCAGCAGCGGGGTGTCGACACTGCGACATACTCAGTCAGGTGAGAACCGTACGCGTGAGAACTCGGCGAAAACCGCGCACGGCTGCCCATAACCGCCAGCCAGCGCCACCATCGCGAGTAACAGACGGACCGCCCGTCTCCCTGACTCGGCACTGCGGTGATACAGGGCCGTGCCCAGTTGCGTGGCTTGTGCCACTCAAAGACGCATGTGTGTGTCTAAGATCTGCAGGGATTAAGCCTCCGTCAGTTTGCTTAGTTTTGTCAGACGTCCGTCACATCACTCGATGTAGTGCCTACTGCCTAGAGCCGCGTATCGCCTGGTGGTTCAAGGGGTGCCGTTGAGGACAGGGGGCGCTCGCACCACCAATCGTGGCTGTGGAATCCGGACAACGCACGCGGTGGTCGGGCATGTGGTCCGATCTCGCAGTCAGTTCCCGGGCGACTCGGAATGTATGTGAGAAGTCTGTTAGATAATACCTTTTTACTAGTTGATCAATGTTTGTAGGACCTGATGAGTTTTTTTTTATGGCAGAAGCCTCTTCCGATGTGTGGATCTGCGTACTCTCAATTTGCCTGCTGAAGAGATGTTGTGTATCAGGGTATCGGTATATGAGCGACAGGCTACTCTGCGTAGGTGCCATTGTGTCACTAACCGGTGTACTCTCTGCACAGGTGCCGACCCGGAGGATGTGGGCGAGGGCCCGCCGTGGGAGTGCAGCGCGTGCACGTTCCACAACCACCCGGCCATGTCCGCCTGCGAGCAGTGCGAGATGCCGCGGCCGCTGACAGGTACGCCGGCGGCCGCCGCGCCCGTGCCGGCCGCCGCGCCGGGCGGCTCGGCGCCGGCCGCCCTCCATTCGGCCTGCTATTGCCACCCGGCGGGCGGTGCGCCGCGCGCTGCCGCTCGCAGCACCTACTGCAGCTGGCCGGAGTCAGACGGCTCGGCCGGCAGCGGCGGGGGCGGGGGCGGCCGGGCGAGCCTCCAGTACCGGCTGGGGACCCTCTGAGGCGGCCCGCCCTGCCCGTGAACAGGCTGTGAGGGAGGGACGGACTGACAGGGGCGCCGTCTGGTTCGTTTCACGCTACCCGAGTCCCCGCAGGCTTCAGTTCTAGTCGCTGCTTTGAGACGGGACTCCGGACGTTAGGTCGCTCCACAGAGCCCGATCATGTAACCGGTTTATCCAGAGCAGCAACCTGTGTGACCGACGACACGGCGCTTCTGAAGCCTGCAGGTTCAGACTCGTGGCCGCTCTCCCCCTCCGTTCAGTGTTGCGCCCTTCCAGTCAGCGAGGCGGTCAGATCTCTCAGGGTTGACAGTGTTCGGTGACGTGACTCGACAGCCGGGCGCCTCTGAGTTTGTGTGTGCGTGTCTGTGAGTGTGCATGCCTGTTGTCTGTCCCCCAGAAATAGCTGACGTTTAGGAGTGCAAACGGCACGAGAGAGGGCGGCACTGTAGTGGTACACGACCGCGTTTGTTTTGTCCCTCAGCTGAAACTATTATCGTCTCGCTAAGATAGCCGATTACTGGGCTGATGGGGCTACAATTGTGATAATCTGATCCTGGAACGTGGTCGGACGGACGGCGGGAGGCTGGCGGTTTTTTGTTTGCCACTTCAGAGCAATACTCCGATATATGTGGACGATCATCTCGGCGTGGCTGCCCGAGGTATGCGGTCCGGGCCGGCGCCGACGGCCGCCGTGATTGGCTCCCGGCGCCGGCTGTTGTCGTAGGATGTCGCTCCGAGTCAGCCGAGCTGCCCGAGGTGCTGGCAGCCGGCGAATCGGGCCGCACGCCGCCAGAACTGTCATACGTGACGGGCAGCCAGTCCAGCTCCAATCGGCTAATTCAGAATACTAACGTACATACCGCGTACACTACTCATCTGGTGCTTCCTCAGTGATACGTTCAGTGTGTCGCAGTAACAGCCTGTCCTACCCTCGGTATAGCGTTCAGTCTAGGCTCAGGCGCATCCTACCTGCCGCAGGGTAACTATCCATATCACAGTTGCCGCATCATGTGCCCCTCCATTCTCAGTCAAACTCCGGAGGACTCAACTAACTCCGATTCTATCTTCCCTTCGTACCGCCGTTCATGTTATATCTATCTGCTAACAAATATAGTCATGCTGCAGGTGCTGATGTATGGTATTTGTGTGTTATACGTTAATCAAAATAGTGTCACAAGAAGGAAGTCACTTCTTGAGCGGTAGTTTGTGCGTATGTCGCATCTGTGTTGTTTCCCTGTAACCTTGACGGCAATGTTGGTTGGTCGGTACCTGTCGGACCATTGGTCCCGTGTAGTCCCGAGACCAGCGGACCGCGCGATGTCCTCGCCGCCCGCCAGGACCGTGCTGCCAATACATACCTCTCCTTGTGACCGCGTGTGTCTGAAGTGGGAGCTGGGGTAGGCGACGGTGGTCGACCAGTTCGGAGCTATCTCTAGGTCCATCCAGGTGAACATTTTTGAATCGTCGCAGGTCTTCCGTACCCCTCAGTCTGACCATTCACTTGTCCCTTTCCCCTCTCTCCTTTGTATGCCGACTATCGGTTGCCCTAGCCCCTGATTCCGTCCCTTGCCTGTCTGCATTCTGCTCCCTGGATTTTGCCAGCTCCGACCGATGGTGCAGAACCTTGCTGATCACTAATGTCACCTCCACACCGCTGCAGTGTGCCGGGTGTTTGCCCCGCCCTGTTTGCCCTGTCATACTCGGGGCTGCATCCCTCGAAGCTGAGTTGAGTAGGTCAACTGTATAGTTAGGGGCTGAAATTAGCGTGTTTTATAACATGTTATGCTTCGGGATTCCTCTCACTAACTCCGTCTTTCCGAAGCTGCCTGCTTTTCAGATCGCGTTGTGAAATTGCTTTTTTGGGATGCTGATGCAGCCTAGTTGAACCCAGCACCATTAACGGACTACCGTGCACAGATCTGATGCCTCATTTTGCCACTATTATTTATCCCGCACGTTTGTTCTCTAGGTGTGCACACTGACTGCCGGTCGCCTGTAGCCCGATTTGGGGTAGTTGCCTGCCTGAACTGCCATTTTGCTCCGTGATCACTGCACATTGGTGGCAATGCCTCTCTGCTCCCTGACTGTGCTTGTCTGTCTATTCGCCTGCGGGTGGTGTAGATAGTGCCTGTGTGTTATCTTCCACCTGCGGTCTGCAGGGCCTCGTTTCATAAAGCGAGTCCGTAACTTACGCCGGTTTTTGGGCTTGTATTGCAAGTGCATGTGAAGCGATAAAGTTATTTCCTCTTTTCCCTTCTGCTGTTCTTGCTTGCAAGACAAATAACTCAACGATTCAAATTATCGTCATCGCTCACATGCACTTGCAATACAAGACCGAAAACCGGCGTAAGTTACGGACTCGCTTTATGAAACGAGGCCCTGCAGACCGCAGGTGGAAGATAACACACAGGCACTATCTACACCACCCAGGCGAATAGACAGACAACACAGTCAGGGAGCAGAAGGCATTGCCACCAATGTGCAGTGATCACGGAGCAAAATGGCAGTTCAGGCAGGCAACTACCCCAAATCGGGCTACAGGCGACCGGCAGTCAGTGTGCACACCTAGAGAACAAACGTGCGGGATAAATAATAGTGGCAAAATGAGGCATCAGATCTGTGCACGGTAGTCCGTTAATGGTGCTGGGTTCAACTAGGCTGCATCAGCATCCCAAAAAAGCAATTTCACAACGCGATCTGAAAAGCAGGCAGCTTCGGAAAGACGGAGTTAGTGAGAGGAATCCCGAAGCATAACATGTTATAAAACACGCTAATTTCAGCCCCTAACTATACAGTTGACCTACTCAACTCAGCTTCGAGGGATGCAGCCCCGAGTATGACAGGGCAAACAGGGCGGGGCAAACACCCGGCACACTGCAGCGGTGTGGAGGTGACATTAGTGATCAGCAAGGTTCTGCACCATCGGTCGGAGCTGGCAAAATCCAGGGAGCAGAATGCAGACAGGCAAGGGACGGAATCAGGGGCTAGGGCAACCGATAGTCGGCATACAAAGGAGAGAGGGGAAAGGGACAAGTGAATGGTCAGACTGAGGGGTACGGAAGACCTGCGACGATTCAAAAAGTTCACCTGGATGGACCTAGAGATAGCTCCGAACTGGTCGACCACCGTCGCCTACCCCAGCTCCCACTTCAGACACACGCGGTCACAAGGAGAGGTATGTATTGGCAGCACGGTCCTGGCGGGCGGCGAGGACATCGCGCGGTCCGCTGGTCTCGGGACTACACGGGACCAATGGTCCGACAGGTACCGACCAACCAACATTGCCGTCAAGGTTACAGGGAAACAACACAGATGCGACATACGCACAAACTACCGCTCAAGAAGTGACTTCCTTCTTGTGACACTATTTTGATTAACGTATAACACACAAATACCATACATCAGCACCTGCAGCATGACTATATTTGTTAGCAGATAGATATAACATGAACGGCGGTACGAAGGGAAGATAGAATCGGAGTTAGTTGAGTCCTCCGGAGTTTGACTGAGAATGGAGGGGCACATGATGCGGCAACTGTGATATGGATAGTTACCCTGCGGCAGGTAGGATGCGCCTGAGCCTAGACTGAACGCTATACCGAGGGTAGGACAGGCTGTTACTGCGACACACTGAACGTATCACTGAGGAAGCACCAGATGAGTAGTGTACGCGGTATGTACGTTAGTATTCTGAATTAGCCGATTGGAGCTGGACTGGCTGCCCGTCACGTATGACAGTTCTGGCGGCGTGCGGCCCGATTCGCCGGCTGCCAGCACCTCGGGCAGCTCGGCTGACTCGGAGCGACATCCTACGACAACAGCCGGCGCCGGGAGCCAATCACGGCGGCCGTCGGCGCCGGCCCGGACCGCATACCTCGGCAGCCACGCCGAGATGATCGTCCACATATATCGGAGTATTGCTCTGAAGTGGCAAACAAAAAACCGCCAGCCTCCCGCCGTCCGTCCGACCACGTTCCAGGATCAGATTATCACAATTGTAGCCCCATCAGCCCAGTAATCGGCTATCTTAGCGAGACGATAATAGTTTCAGCTGAGGGACAAAACAAACGCGGTCGTGTACCACTACAGTGCCGCCCTCTCTCGTGCCGTTTGCACTCCTAAACGTCAGCTATTTCTGGGGGACAGACAACAGGCATGCACACTCACAGACACGCACACACAAACTCAGAGGCGCCCGGCTGTCGAGTCACGTCACCGAACACTGTCAACCCTGAGAGATCTGACCGCCTCGCTGACTGGAAGGGCGCAACACTGAACGGAGGGGGAGAGCGGCCACGAGTCTGAACCTGCAGGCTTCAGAAGCGCCGTGTCGTCGGTCACACAGGTTGCTGCGCTGGATAAACCGGTTACATGATCGGGCTCTGTGGAGCGACCTAACGTCCGGAGTCCCGTCTCAAAGCAGCGACTAGAACTGAAGCCTGCGGGGACTCGGGTAGCGTGAAACGAACCAGACGGCGCCCCTGTCAGTCCGTCCCTCCCTCACAGCCTGTTCACGGGCAGGGCGGGCCGCCTCAGAGGGTCCCCAGCCGGTACTGGAGGCTCGCCCGGCCGCCCCCGCCCCCGCCGCTGCCGGCCGAGCCGTCTGACTCCGGCCAGCTGCAGTAGGTGCTGCGAGCGGCAGCGCGCGGCGCACCGCCCGCCGGGTGGCAATAGCAGGCCGAATGGAGGGCGGCCGGCGCCGAGCCGCCCGCGGCGGCCGGCACGGGCGCGGCGGCCGCCGGCGTACCTGTCAGCGGCCGCGGCATCTCGCACTGCTCGCAGGCGGACATGGCCGGGTGGTTGTGGAACGTGCACGCGCTGCACTCCCACGGCGGGCCCTCGCCCACATCCTCCGGGTCGGCACCTGTGCAGAGAGTACACCGGTTAGTGACACAATGGCACCTACGCAGAGTAGCCTGTCGCTCATATACCGATACCCTGATACACAACATCTCTTCAGCAGGCAAATTGAGAGTACGCAGATCCACACATCGGAAGAGGCTTCTGCCATAAAAAAAACTCATCAGGTCCTACAAACATTGATCAACTAGTAAAAAGGTATTATCTAACAGACTTCTCACATACATTCCGAGTCGCCCGGGAACTGACTGCGAGATCGGACCACATGCCCGACCACCGCGTGCGTTGTCCGGATTCCACAGCCACGATTGGTGGTGCGAGCGCCCCCTGTCCTCAACGGCACCCCTTGAACCACCAGGCGATACGCGGCTCTAGGCAGTAGGCACTACATCGAGTGATGTGACGGACGTCTGACAAAACTAAGCAAACTGACGGAGGCTTAATCCCTGCAGATCTTAGACACACACATGCGTCTTTGAGTGGCACAAGCCACGCAACTGGGCACGGCCCTGTATCACCGCAGTGCCGAGTCAGGGAGACGGGCGGTCCGTCTGTTACTCGCGATGGTGGCGCTGGCTGGCGGTTATGGGCAGCCGTGCGCGGTTTTCGCCGAGTTCTCACGCGTACGGTTCTCACCTGACTGAGTATGTCGCAGTGTCGACACCCCGCTGCTGGAACTGGCAGAGCTCCGACGGACTGTGGACCAACGCGATAGGACGGTTACACGCTGGCGACACACAGGTCACAAGCAGAAAACAAACAGGGAATAAAGTATAAACAGTTCAAAAGTCGATGGTAACCGGTAATATTGAGAAGTGTAAGGCTACGAAATTCAGCAAGTAAAACTGACATGATGCTCAGATGCTTGTAATTAGTACCAATTGCAGGTAAACACCAGTTTTGCATAGTTGAGTTTTACGTTAAGAACATTTTGAAATAGGCACAAATGTGGAACAAACAAAAAAGGGGACTCAAAGAAACAACGCTTCTAAAATCCCACTCTTTCGAGTTTCGATCACTAATCGTCACTTGTTTTCTTTGCCGATGGTGACAACCAATCTATTCTCCCTTCTACCCTTCCAGCCTCTCTATCTCACTCAGCTCAGACTCTAACATCACTGGTACCCACTCCCCCCTCGTTCACTGGCTGCCCCAGCCCCCTGTCCCTCCATCCCTCCACCGGGGCCCCGGCCGCCCACCTTGCTGTGCTGTCCGCAGCTCCTGTATCTCGGTCACCATGCGATCACACTCCCGGCGCAGGCGGTGGTTCGACTCTGCCCACCGGAGACGGTTATCCACCTGACAGAGAGGCGGTCAACTGTTACACAACAGACAGCAGATACACACCATGTGCGAGACTGGCCTAGAGAGTCTCAAGATGATGTAGAATACGGAATCACCTGAGCAATACACAATACACATCTTAAGATATATACGATAAGCCCTGAGAGCTCATGCGGTTTCCTAGATACCCCACAGTTGTCCCCCCCCCCCCCCTCATGAGTTTCCCCAGTCCAAAAAGCAGTCCCCAGCTAACCAAAACTCTCCAGCTCACCAGGGCTCCCCCTGGCTCATCAGAGCTCCCCACCAGGCTCCCCCCAGCCCACCAGGCCCCCCACTCACCCTCCCCACAGCTCACCGGAGCTCCCCACAACAGCTCACCAGGGGTGCTGCTGGCACACTCTCCAGCCGCCGGGTCAGGTCGGCCGTCTCCGCATTCAGACGGTCCCAGAGGCGCCGGGTGCGATCCAGCTCCAGCCGCAGGCGACCGCACGCCTCGTGCTGCAGCCGCAGTCGCTCTGAGGGGTGACAGTGACCGTGACCGTCACAGAGCTGATGTGGAACAATGCCTACTGAACGTGTCAACAGCCGCTCTGAGAAAAGTTTGAACTTTTCTTGGACTTGGTTTTACTTGGATGTTTTAGTTTCACCAGGGAAGGGAAGTGTGTATAACTTGTATGTGAATATAAATAGTGCCAAGCCTGGTAAACAAAATAAGTAATTGCATCTTCGGTACTGGGTCATAAAGCAAATTGCTTGTTTTTTATGAAAACGATCAGCTACTCGTATAAAGTCAAAAACCATGATAACTCATATTACCCAACACTTATATTTGCAGCGTGCACCCGTACCGTTGACTGTGTCGGGCTGTCGTTGGACGGCTGGTCCGTACCTGCACTGCTCTGTGGCTCCTGTACAGAGGTCGCCGCCGGTGCCGCTGGGGCGACCACTCTGACCGGGGACGGCGGCCGAGGGACCGACACGCCGGGTCGGACCCCTACCGGCTGCTGCCGCTGGCTGGCTGGGGACCGGTACGGTCCATGTGGCGGCTCATACAGGGCAGCAGACGGCTGGTACGGCACGGCAGGGGCAGCCGGCCAGCCTGTGGATGGAAAAGACTGGCCTCCAGGCGGCTGATACTGACTGGTAGATGGCTGGTACGGACTGGTAGAGGGCTGGTATGGACTGGTAGAGAGGGTATTGGCCAGTAGAAGATTGGTACTGACTGGTAGATGGCTGGTAGTGACTGGTAGATGGGATATATTGACCGACAGATGGCTGGTACGGACTGGAAGACGGCAGGTACTCGGCGGTCAGGCCGGAGCCGGGCTGGTAGTGGCTCGGGGACAGCTGCGGGCCGGGCCGCTGCCCGAGGCCGGCCGGCGGCTGCGGCGGACTGACAGACACCGAGTACACGACAGCAGGCTCCGGTGGCCGGTACTGGCTCTGGGAGAGGAGCGGGACGGGCCGCGGCGGGGCCGCCTGGTGGCCAACAGCGCCGACACGGGCCGGCCGCCGATCCGGACATCGCCCATCTGCGCGGTCAGCTCCAGCAGGTCGGGCTCGTCGGCGCCCGAGGGACGCTCTGGCTGCAACTGGGAAGGGAACGGCGGGTCATTGAACAGTAAACGCCATTCTGAGTTCTGTTTGTCCTTGATATGTAAGCATCATTTTAAATGGGTACTATCGACTACAGCAAATTGATATTAATCCAAAGGACTGTAAATGGAGTTCATAAAGACTTACAGTGTCTCACTGAACACTTGAGCAGGATACTAAGAAGTGGCATTTTAAGTCTCAAGCAAAAAATGCATTTTATTTATTCATAACATCATAAAACTTAGCATACTATATTTTACAGATATCCCTTAAAAGAGAAACAAGAAAAGGATCATATACCACATTGATGATAATAACAACTGTCAAAGAATTACAACATACTGTAGCTTTTCCCTACAGCATAGCTATTAACTACCATTACTCACCTCATGCATGATCTCCATTCAATTTCAAGCAGTAGTCCAGGATTTCCAGATGACACAATTCCTCTGCTCTTACACTGCCATATTATAATGTGTACCAAAGTGAGTAGCCAGTTGTGTAACTCTTGAAGTCCTATGAAAACGAAAGAATGTCAATTAGTTTGATGGATTCTCTTAATGTGACAACAAAATGAACCCAGGACAGATTAGGGGTAGACTTCTGCCTACTGCATGTTTTTTTTCTGGTGTGTGCTGTCATTTTCCGATCTGTGTGTCAACATGCAACAGGTGAGCTGAATGTATTGCACACACTTCTTAAAAATATTGAGCTCATATAAAACAATGTCCAGGAAGCAAACCAGATCACCTGAAGTGAACTAAAATTGCACATGGAAACACAGCTTAAGCAGTTGCCTAAACATATTGCAGTGTCTGGAGAAAGATTGAAAACTTTTTAATCAAAGAAAGAAACATAATTATTAAATGAAGTTTATTTATGACAGAATTCATATTTATTGCTTTTTTGGCAATACAATACTTTGAGCTCTTCATAGTTCTTCAATGACTCATTGTTCAGGTGTTCATTGTGCTGAAGTCAAATGATATATCATCAATGATCAAGGTGAAGGGCCACCATCTGCTTTTCATTTTGGTCAAAAGCTTTTGATCACTTTGATAGAATGAAACATATTCAATAGGTAACAAAGATGTAAGATGGTATTAAAGGGACCCTCCCACCTTCAAAAAAGTTTATGAATTGGCATGAAATGATGTCGCTTGGTTCGGAAAAGCGAAAACGAATATCTACCAAATTTCACCGAAAAATATTCACCGGTTTTCAAGATATTAGACTTTTACTTTTGTTTACTTTTTGGGATCTCCGCTGTTTCTAGCGACTTTATTTTAGAAGTGCGGCGTTTGCGGCAGATGTTGCGCGCAAATAGCATATACCACCGCGTGCTACAAAACGTTTTAGTCAAACATTTAAAAATCGTTAGATATCTGCGCTGACGTCACACATTCAGAGGGGTATTCCTAAGCATTAGCCCCTCTGAATCAAAATGCTGCAATTTTGAAATTCAATATTTCCGATTTAAGGCATTTCTCGATGTTGTGAGTGCCAAAACCGGTAATTGTGAGCCAGGGACCCCATTTTGGCTATCTCAACTCAAATCTAATGTTAAGGTGGGAGGGTCCCTTTAAGTGATGCAACATTCATAATGTAGGTAGGTGCTGGGCCAAAAATGTTAATAACACTGGTGGATCCAAGAGGGTCCAACCGAGCCAATGTCAGGACTAAGGGCGGCCAGAACATGATTTGCCCCCCTCCCAATTTGAATTCGCCATTTAAAATCTCTTCTCTGCAATTAACAAATACGACAACATGCGTGGGATCCAGGCATCAAAGAGCCATTCGCATTCGGTCCATATCATAGGTGTCGCCATGAAATCTTGACACCAATACCAGAATCACTCACACTTTAACCAAAAATTTATTCAAACCAATGGTGGTAACACTTTGATACAATGACATCAACATACAAATAATTGTGATGAAAGTGAAGTGCATGGCTACCTCATCGAACGGTATGTACATTTTATGTGATAATTATGTGACAAGAATGCCTATTTTTAGATTAACACCGACTCCAAGGGCCCTGCAGATATTCAATCCCCAACAGATACAAATTACAAATTCTTGTTCTTGTTCTTGTTGGATAAGGGCGTAGCAGTCAGGGATCAAGCGTCCATCTTCTTTCTTCTCTCACTGGGTGAGCAGATACAAACTGAAACAAGTGGGAAAACGAAAATAATAACACCAGTTACCAACACAACACACACAAAACACAGCATTGAGCTCAGCATAAGGCACGAACAGAAATGAAAGCCATTAATGGCGCAGCTGCTACGAACCCTTAAAGCATGCAGCAGCCAATTTATTAAATATCAAAAACAAGGGGCCATATCTTGTCTATTCTTTATGAAGATAGTGGAGATTGCTAAAAAAATAACTTCAAACAAAGCTAACTAAAAATTAAGCGTTTAATGATCGGTATTCAGCTTGTGTAGAAACCAAGCAGAAACACCATAAAGGGTTTTCTCACGGTGACTTTAAATATAAAATGACTATAAAATGACTATAAAATTCACTGTTTGCAGACTGCAATGACTGCAGTGCACTATTAGCAGACAGAGCGGACAGAGCTAGCACGAGAACTTTTGGTCCGCTCGCAGTCCGGTCATGGGTGGAGCTTTCCCAGGGAAGTTGGTGGGGCAAAAAGTCGTCAAACCCACAATGTCCGATTATGAAGTTGAATAAAATAAATCAATGAATCAATTCCCATCATTACAGATATAATATTGTGCATTAAACAGACATTCCAAAGCTCATTAATGCGAAAAAGATTATTTTGCAAAGCAACAAAGCTTTAGAAATCAGCTAAAGTTGGTGGGGCAAAACGCTTATTGGTGGGGCAAATTGGCAAGTTGGTGGGGCAGCCGCCCCACCAACTGTATAGGAAGCTCCGCCCCTGAGTCCGGTTATGTTTTTTATGCTTTGTGTCACCAAACACAGCATACACAGAATCACTTTAAAAAAAATTTCCTTGTGTGAATTATTTTTGCAACGCATAGTCCAGTGATTTTACTCTGGCCGAGTCGGAGTGCGGTCTCGGCTCTGGGCCACGTAGCAGCACTCGGCAATCGAAAGAGCGTCAAAAATATGGAAAAAAACACTCAGGTCATTTTAAGGTCAGGTCAAAGGTCAGGTCACCAGAGGTCATCAAAGGTCAAATTTAGTCCATTTCAATAATTTTGGAAAATGCCAACGGCTAACTCGGGAACCAATAGAGCTACAGCGCCGCGGAAAAGCGCATTCGATAGCCCCTTTTACAGACCTTTCTGACTAATGTTCTCAGATTTAAACCTCAAGTCAACGGTTTAGCCTCAAGAGGGCAAAAACTGGAAAAATAACCGTTTTTACGAAAAATGTTTTTCGGCAATAACTTTTGACTCAAGAGAGCCACGACATTAATTTTGGCAGCATCGTGTTTCTCTCGTCGAGACGCGTCGAATGAACCAATTGTTGACCTTGAAAGGTCATTTTGAAAATTTGGCCTTTGGTCAAGGTCATGACCTGACCGGAAAGGGTCATGTTGCATATCAGTCGATCCGTATCGTCGATCTGAGCACATCTGACGTGTTTTCATCGCTCTAGCGCGTCTCTATCAAAAGCTATAGCCAAAAAACTGCTGGTGACCGCTTGTGACCTGAGATGACCTCAGGGCATACAGAGGGGTCCAGGTGCGTTTTTTTTCTGATTCAGTGTGTTATGTTTACCGATGAACTGATAGGTATTTGAGAGCGTTTTGAACGGCATTTGTCCAAAAGAGGCGCATTTCAATTATCACCCATTTTTAATGGAGAGGTCGCAAAATTGACCTGACCTTAGGTCACATATCTGAAAACTCCGAGACATACATTTTACATACTGTTACTCATATCAATCGCTGAAAGCTTCTTAAGTAATCGTTCAGTCGGTGTAGCTATGTATAGCGAGCCTTTGAACTTTTTCTCAGGTAAGGTCACTTGACGTGACCTGGTGACCTGAACTTGAACGACCCGGGTCTGAAATTTTGACATGTGCGGAAATGATGTATGAGCATATGTACCAAAAACAGCGGCACTGCGCGCTGCGGTTTTTTAGATATTTTAAAAACGCCCCCCCGCCCCCAGCACGGCGTGGGTTTAACCCTATTCCTGGCGGGCTCCGCCGGGACAAGAAACTGGCGGGGGCCGATTCGGCCCCCCTTCAGATCTCAAAAAACACATCGCAGCGACAAACGGTAAACGGCATCGGATACGCACGGTCAAGATCTACAATTTTTACACAGGTCATTTCAGGTCAGGTCAAAGATGACGTCACAGGGGTCGAAAAAGTCAAAATGGCGGCGCTAGATATGGAGAGAGTTTTTCTCGAATAACTTTCGAATTAGTCAAGATAGGAACAAACTAAGGGCATCATCGTGATCCTCTCGTCAATCCGCATCGAATATATATGTTGACCTCGAAAGGTCAAGGTCAAAGGTTGACCTCAGGTCACGTGACCTCGAGGTCATCATGTATGTCATTCGATGCGTCTTGACGACTGAACACAATGAGACCATCCACGCGTCTGTATCTTGTTCCTGTACGGAGTTATTGGCCAAAACCTTTGGTGACCTTTGATGACGTCACATGACCTCACAGCTGCCCAACAGCAAAACAGACCTCAAGGTAGTAAAGGTTGATCGTATGAAGTCATGTATGGTATATGGGGCCATTCCGACCCGTTTTAGTGGTAAAACAGGAGTTGATTTTTCCCCCATTGACTTATAATGGGGAGGTCGCGAAACTGACCTGACCTTAGGTCACCGATATCAAAATTCCGAGATATACAAATTGCACATACTGGTACCCTAACTAAAGCCTGAAGAGAAGAAATTGATCGGTCAAAAACTCTAGCTCTGGCGTGATTGCAAATTTTTCTGAGGTAGGGTCACCAAACCGCCTCTGGTGACCTGACCTGAGGTCAGATCAACTCAAAATTTTCAGACATGTTGCGTAGAAGCCTTTTAGGAAAAGTAAGAAATTTGAGCTTCCTAGCTCAACGCGTTTGGGAGAAATAACCAAAAACCTCAGGGGGGCTCCTGAGGCCCCCCCCCCCCCCCGCCAGGAATAGGGTTAAGAAGCCTTTGACAGAACTGACCTAATCAGTGTGGTCCATCTCTTGGCAGAGAAGTTTTCAGGCCTCATCCTTCAAAAACGACACAAGCCATGTCTTGCGTGACGCTGGCTGGGTTCGGGGTACCTACCTACTTCGTTTCCTGTCAAACTCAGCCAAAGAGTGCCGTTAGCTCGTAAAACGTCTCGTCGAGCAGGAGTGCAGGCCGACCCCGCGAACGGGGGCCGGGGCAGTTGCAGAGCATGGCTCGTGCACGCATTAGTCTCAATGCTGGATCCTCCCGCATTCCCGACCTGTCCGCAATGGTCACCGTTCCGTGACGGTGACGACCAGCGTGGCGAAAGACCCCGCGAGTTGTGATGTGACAGGCCACAGCCGGAGGCTCTCTCCAGCGTGCGAAGCGTGGGCGTCGTGCTGTACTTCCGAAACGCTTAGCATGATAGCAGTTCATCTAATTTAACTGCATTATCATTGGCCTAATCAGTTTTAGTGTGTTAATCGTCATAGATCACTGAGCAACAAGACCAAATGACGAGTGTTAAGCTAAAGGAAATATACCTATCACTTTTAACCCGAGCATGACTGGGGTATATTCCATAACGCGAGTGACGCCCCCCCCCCCCCCTCTCCTACCTCCGAAACTACTGGAACGTTCGTCAAAATTTAACCCGCGCCCTGATGAGGGGGCCATTTTGCCCCCCCCCCTGTGGTTTTTCTTAAATAGCGAGAAAACGGCGGCGCGCAGCGCCGCCAAATTTTGGGTACCCTACCGGTCATCAATTTGACACCTTCACACAAAAGTTCAAGTCACAGGTCATCTCGGGTCAGGAGTTATTGAGGTCAAACTGAGGTCATGTTCGAGATAAAATGAGCAAAAAACATGACATCTTGAAACGCTCACCAAATCTACAGTTGACAAGCAATTTTAAAGTTTTTTATGTGGTTGTGTAGAGAAAAGACGGCGCTAAAAAACTGCTATCTCGGATTTTCGAAATTTTGGGACTTTCCTCCCAAAAAAATCAAAAATCTATTTTTTTGGAAAAACTTTAAAAAATTCCAAAAAAATTCGATTTTCGAAAAACTGGAATATATGTGATAGTCTCTGCGCTTTTCGATATACATACCCAATTTTAGATCGATACCTCTTTTTTTTGGCCACGGTATAGCGAAAAAACTTAAAAATTGATGACGTCAAATTTTTTAACCCTATTAGTGGCAGGCTCCTGGCTACCCCATATTAGTGGCAGGGGGGGCTGTTTACGACCCCCCCTTGATCTCGAGATCCAACCGGCCCATTTTCAAAATTCAAACGGCATTCGATTTGGCTCAACGAGATCTACATTTAAAAAAAAAAAATTAAAAATGTCAATAGGGGGGGGGGTAGAGGGGGGTAAAACGGGCAAATTGCAGATACATTTTATACTGTTTATCACGGCCAGGTTTCTGAACCAATCTTAACGCAACTTTTGCCGATCGATAGAGAATGAACCAGGAATTCACATGGATCCTAAAAATATGCATTTTCAAAAATCATAGGCGGATACAGATCATTGAGATTGGGGGTACACAAAAAGTATAGTAAATAAGGTTTTTGTTGGTAATGTTTCTAAAAAGGGTGGCAATGGTCTTGTTATGTTACAATTTTCTTATGAGAGAACGACTAAAATTGTATTGGTCATGCATAGGCGGTGTCAGGGAACCTATGTTGGGAGGTAAAAAATAACCCCCATTTTTGGACGCCTGGATCCGCCTATTATAGCAAAAACGTGTCAAAAAAGGATGCACAATAACTTTGTAGGTATATGTATCACATGATACCTTTCATTCACTGTTCGTAAAACTGGTGCAGCATCGTGATATTCGCCCAAATGACTCGCTTCACGAATAGGACCCCCAATTCCCAGTGCTCTGGAGCCGCCCCTGGTAAAGTTATGAACTT